TACTCTGAGCTGACAATTTTTTTTTTCCTTAGTAATCATAGGTTCACTTAAAGGGTGAAGGACGTGCTGTGTACTGTATTTGAAGTCACTTCTGATTTGTAATGCAAATGATCCTAGTATATTGGGATGACACAGGCAAAAAGAACTCTACATGATAAACCTACACCTGGGAAGCATGCTGCTGACTTACACATCAGTCCTCTCTGGCTTTCTGTTGCTAGGTAAGCAAAACATTATATACAGTATATATATCTGTATTATTCATATTCCATGGATATAGAAACAGATCCGTCACTCACAATCACTTTATTGCTCAGAGCGATTGCAGATAAAACCACAAGCCAACCGGCTTGACACATTTCACAAGCCACACAATTGGCTTGAGAAATGGCCCTCGGCTTGTGGCTTTTTAACTTGCAGTATTTTTTATGTTAAAGAGCATTGCGTCACTTGAGCTGCGAACTAGACATGTGCGATTTACTTCCTAACGGATCATAATTCGGGTGAATTTTCCCAAATTTAGATATTCGGACACACCTGAATTTCCAAGTCCCAATGCATCCGAATGTGTCCCAATCCAAATTTCCGTTTCCGAAATTCAGATCCCGACTGAATTTCATTTAAAAACTAAATTGAATCGGACATGTAACTTTTCTGGCCAATGTTTTTTTCAGTTTAATGCATCCGAATGGCATTTGGGAGCTCCTGAAAGCCATTCGGGTCTGGGAGCCTCAGCTTTAGTTTTTTGTATATATGGCTCCCAATGTTGCCGCAACTAATATTCATTCGTAATACAGAATACTACTTATACTGTATATACTTAATACTAAAGTGAATCCTCCAAGAGCCGAATGAAGTCCGAATTTCCGAATAGCATTCGGGAGCTCCCGAATGCCATTTGGGTCTGGAAGCTGGAAGGTTTAATTTTATGTATGTATGTATGGCTCCCAGACCCGTATTGCTTTCTGGAGCTCCTATATGGTATTTGGAAATTCAGACTCCCGAATACCATTCGGGTCTTGGAGCATCAGCTTTATTATTAATATCTGTATATGGTTTTCTGTGGTAGTCGCAATTAATATTTGTTCGTATACTCATCCGAAACTAAGGAAATTCTGATTTTTTGCTTATTAATTCTTCATGATCCACGGAACTAGGGAGGTAGCGGGGTGTTTCCTTTACATATGCAATTTGTGCTATAGGGTGTCCCTCTTTCCCAGCTCTAAAAGTCAGGAGGTATGTCTTATGTCCTGCTGTAGATTGTAAGCCCTTGGGGCAAAATGTACCTTTTGCTCACTGTGTTAAGGTGCCCATACACTGCACGATTCTCGTACGAGAATCGCGGGAAATCCCGCGATCGTACGAGAATCGTGCAGTGTATGGAAGGCGTGCGACCGGTTTCACTTTTCCGTCGCACCGCCTCCCGTATGGAAGGCGTGCGACCGTTTCTACTGTACGGTCGCACGTCTTCCATCGAACCAGCATGTTTGAAAACCCGCCGGGAATCGTACAATTCTCGGCGAGTTTGTGGCCTGCTGGTTCGACAACTGCCGAACGGGCCGGTGTTCGCACGCGCACACTGCCCGTTTGCAGTCAGCGTAAGCCCGCCCCTCATTACAGTCATCGCAAGCCCGCCCCTCAGGGGGCGTGGTTTGCGATGATCGAGAGTGCGATCTGCCCGTCCAAGATGGGCAGATCGTACGTTTTTTTAATCCCTTTACAACCATCGCAAGACTAAGGTCTTGCGATGGTTGTACAGTGTATGGCCACCTTTAGTCTAATGTTTGTATTTACCACAGTTTGTAAATAAAACGTGTATTAATAATAATAATAAGTATTCACTAATACACTATGCATGTCAGTAATGTGATGTTTTATTCTTTAATCCACAGCAGCAAACTACGAAACGAGTGTGGAGGCTGCAGGTCAGTAAAGCAGCGTCTTTATCTGAGTGATTGCTATTCCAAACCCAAAACACATTGGGGGGAATTAATGAAAAGTGGAGCAGACAGAATCTGGAGCAGTTGCCCATGGCAGCTAATCAGCTTCTCTCTTGTTTGTTCAGTTAGGCTTTGAAAATGAAAGAAAGAAGCTAATTGGTTGCTATGGCCAACTGCTCCAGATTCTGTCTGCTCCAGTTTTGATTAATCCCCCCATATTGTCATAGAAAGGCAGTGGCGTAATTATAGCCATAGCAGCCCAGGCGGCTGTCATGGGCCAGGGGGGTAGATGGTCGCCCCATTAGGTTCCTGAATCAATTAAACACAGAAGATGTGAAGATAATACAGTACTCATCATTATTAAGGGTTGGAGTGGTTGCAGTTGAGGACAACTCTAATCCCCTGTAAAGTCTACAGTGTTGGGGCGACTTTAGATGCACAAGAGGAGTCTTTGGGATCTTGACATTGTTAGTCACAGCTCAGAGAGAGGTTGTCAGGGGGCCCCATATGACATTTTTGCTATGGGTCCCAGTGATCTGTAGTTACGGCCCTGTAGAAAGGGGATAGATGTAGAGAGTTGTCTGTGTTGCCATAGTAACCATATAACCATCATTGCTTATTGAAGGCGTACTAATAAAGCTTGTGGTTGTTATGGGCAACAAAGACAACAAAGACAGATTTTCTCTCAGAAACTTTCTATTGACAAGTTCTTTCAAAAATGAACCTATTCTCTATTTGAAGCTATTAAAAATAAAGCAGACGCCACAAAATACTGTACCTTATCAGTGATATGCTGTTGCATTTCCACCACATCTATTTATTAGGCCTTGTTTACACAGATGGCAAAAGGGAGGTGAAAACAGGTGGTAGATCTGCATTTTTAATGTCCATCTCCCCAACCGCCCACTTAAAACCTAATGGCAGACACTCAGCTATGTACACGTACTGTGGCAGCGACAAATTTTATATAGCTTGTTGCATTGGACAGGTGGTGCCACTTGCTAAACGTGACCATTGACGTCTATAGGGCTGTGCCACATCCACATGGCGACCACTTGGCACATGGTTGCTTTGCAATATAGAAATGTAAAATCCCCATTCCGGACATGGCAGTATTGCTTTCTAAGCTCCTGGAAACCGGCTGGATGCTGCCCTCTGAAAAGGCGACCACATATGGCTTTTCAGAGGGTGGTAAAAGTCCCCGTTCAGATGCGGCCGCTGTACCCATTGAAGTAACAGACAGGGTGACAGCGGCCTCAGCTGTCAGCGGTGGTCCACATGTAATAGTACATGGTGCGATTACATGTGGCTTGGGATAGATGATTGTCACTGGACACACAATAGATGTGTCCAGGGACAGCCACCTACCCCAAACTGCATGTAATGGATGGATACAGTGGCCGCATCTGAATGGGGACACCTGGGATTTATGCTGCAAGAATCTGTAGGTTCCTGTTGCAGGAATCCCTGAACACAGCAAAGTCCTTGTGTGAATAGGGTCTAAGCCTACAAGCGCTCAGTAAAGATGGCCATACACCCATTGTATTTTCTGGTTGACCCCCACAGGCTGAACAAGAAAGGTGGATCCCCAAAGGGCTATTGTATTCTGACAGCAGTGGGTGTGCCACTATCAGAATACCTGAAGAGTGACTGCAGGTGAATGGCTAGTCACTTTTCGGTCTAGAATTTTTGCACTGGCTTCTTCAACAAAAGTCAATTGAAAAATGTGCCAATTGGGCCACACACTGCTCGAATTTGGCAAAGTTGTCAGAACTTGGCTGACATTTGAGGATTTGAGGAGTGTATGGACAGCCTAAGTCCCAGGGGATGCTGAACACTACATCAGAAAGGGCCCATATTTGTATGGAAAAGAAATGTCATGGAACCATGTCAGCTAATCACATGAGAACGCACATATGCTTATGTATGAACTTATTTTAATCAAAAGACCACAATGGCTGACTACATCTTGGTGCTCTTTTCCAGCTGCGAATGTGGCTCTCCAGGGTCTGGCCTTTCAGTCTAGCTCCAATCAAGGCGGCGGCGAAGCCCACCTGGCAATAGATGATAACCCCACCCCCAACTTACTGACTGGATCCTGCAGCCAGACCACCAGAGAGCTCCAGCCATGGTGGACAGTGGACCTGAGACGTGGCTACCTCATCGACAATGTTACTATTACCAGCCAGTTGAGCAACCAGCAAAGCTTGCTGCCCTGGGCCGAGATCCATGTCGGAGAGGACATACGGGGCTATGGAATATATAACCCTGTGTAAGTAAGACCTCATTCACACCTGAGTGTTTTGTAGCTCAAAGTTACAAAAAACCTAGCATTAGGCCTCATTCACACGAGAAAAAGCCGGTACGTACAGCTCCGTGCACGGCTGTATCGGGCAGCTCCCGGCAAGGACAGGTGCTGCGTGGGAGTACGCGGCCATACGCCAGCCTACGCTCACCCGCCCTGCGTGTTTGTGCGGGTGTCCGTACTCGTACGCTGACTGGATGGATCTTGTCTGCATCTGAGCCGGGACACCCGCACCCGTACGGACCTGCACTTGGGGTGAGCGTAGGGCGGCGTTTGGCGGCGTACTCCCATAGAGAAAGACAGGGGCTGCGTCTAATTACACGCAGCACCTGTCCTTCCCAGGAGCTGCTCGATATGGCCGTGCATGCAGCATGGAGCTGTACGTGCCGGCCTTTTCTCATGTGAATGAGGCCTAAAAGTGCCATTGTCATCTATGGTGGCTGTTCACACCTGAGAGCTTAAATGCCTGTACCAAATGCCCAGGGCCATCCCAGGCAGCATCCCTTGAGTGGGGTGGCAGGCAGAGTGGCATGACCGCTCTGCTGCACAATGTTTGCAGTGTGCCTGATGCCCCTTTCTGGCCAGAGTGTCCCAGGTTGCTAAGAGCCAGACAAGGAGATATTTAAGGGTCATAAACATCTCTCCACCCAGCTCTTAGCAATCTGGGACGCTCTTGCCAGTGTCCCCCTGAAATCACTAGTTGCCAGGAGCTTGGCAGGACGTCGTGCCAACCTCCCACCGCCCTCAGGCAACAAAAAAGCTTGGGATGTCCCTGAATATGCCATTTGCTCTAAAAAGTACAGGAGCTTCTTTCAGGCAGAATCAAGCGTTTTCTCTCCATAGATTTTAATGGAAGCGACTGTTTACGTGCGTTTTTTAGGGGTTCCCATTGAAAAGTCTACAGGGCCAAAAACACACAATTCTGCTTTTATACTACAAGTATTGCACATAAACAATAAAAAAAACACTTACAAATGCGCAAAAAAAAGATCACCTGGCTACGCTCACTCCAATTCAGCCTAATGCACAGGGATTGTGTTCGGCTTTAGAACTCCTGAGAGGTTTTCATTGCTGTCTGTGTCTCTCTATTTGTCTTGGTGATCGTTATGACAGAAAGTCAAAGAAAATAACAAATTTTGGGTTGTCACCAGAAGAAGAATAAAGAGGAAATCTTCCAAAGGGGGCACTAGTACTAATGACCACCGGGGATTTCACTCTCTTTGGAAGGATTTCTGCTCACTTCCTGTTGTGACTATCAGACAAGATGTAAAGGGAAATCTCCCCAATGGGGCATGGCTGTCAAAAACAAACAGCTGATGGGGTTATAACCCTCCCCCCAAAAAATTGACTTCAGTTACCCTTTAAGACCTTTATATGGAGGTCTATACTGGGAGCGATTGATACAGACCGGTATTAAAACAAAAAAATCTGCTTGCTTTGACCGTCAGATTGCACGGGGAAGATATAACAAGCATTTCAATGGACTGCTTTGGAGAACAGCTCCACGTCTTCTATAGTTCTGCTTGCTGTAGTCAGCCCTTGTCTCTTGCCTTACAGCTGTGCTGTCATCCCTTCGATGTCTTCAGGAGAGACAAGGTCGTTTCCATGTGGGGGTAAAATCGGACGTTACATCACAGTGGTCATACCGAACCGCATTGACACACTAACGCTGTGTGAGGTTCAGGTGGCGGTTCTGAATATACCAGGTAAAATGACATACAGATAAGTAGACTGATGTACTATATCTCTATGCTTATATACTGTACACTTATTATTATTTTAAAGCTAAACGCCTGCAAAAAATAGCAAATATTGTTTAAATACAACAGCCATGTGTATTCTCACTCGAATCCTGGCGTGCTTTGTGTATTTATTTCAGATCTGTGCACTAATCCAGTGTAAAAACCTTTTCCTCTTCCTGTAATACAGACCGATCACTGCTGCTCTCTCACCTTATGCAGGCTGATTGGTCTTGTCTCCGCCCCCTTCTGTCATTTTCTGCAGGCAGCCTGTATGGGGAGGGGCTTACTGGGCCCCTCCAACAGCTCTGCTCCCTGCACAGGCTCTGTGCAGCACATTAATGTGGTCACTGCTACTTTTACAAGCCTGCTTACAAGGGTTTGCAAAAGCATTTGATGTACACAAAGTGGACTTATCTCCTTGGTGGCTATTGATGAATATATTTAAGTGAAACTTGTTGTGCCTGGAGTTGAGCTTTAAAGATGTGTGTGTATGAATATATATATATCTATATATATATATAAATATAATATTAGGGATGCACCGATACCAGTATTTCGATATCGAGTACCGATATTTATTTTTCGGTACTCACCGATACCGGAAGTCCCATTATGTGACCAGAAAGCATGGCGTCGGCTTTCTGGCCAATCAGGACACCGTGTAATGAGGTGACGAGGGAGCACGAAGCCGGCTTCCCGCGCAAATCAGAAAGCCGGACATCGCGTCATTACACGGGGCCTAGTGTGTATATATATATATATATATATATTTTTATATATATATACACACACACACACACACACACTAACAACTTTATTAGGATATTGTCTCTTACAAACCTTGAAGAAGAGGATACTTGTTATAAAGAACCCAACTGCAATTCGTGATGTTCTCTGTGTGTGGTCTAGCTCTGTTCTCTGTAAATATGAATGCTCCTCATGTCTTAATTTCTTTAACAGATCGTCTGCTTGGAGTCAAGATCACAAGCATGTTTAATGCCGACGCAAACCTTTACACAGAGGTTGCAATACAGAAGGTGAGTCATCTCCTCCTACACAATGAGGACCTGTCTCTCCCAAATGGATGACACACAGATAATTACATCTCCATCTTATTTATTACAGACCAAACAGAATCTTAAGAGCGTGGGCAGAACATTAAGCTGGGGGATCGACCATGTCCTGCAGAGAGGTGAGTGCTGGTGACTAAACTGTGGATTCTGGTAAAGTGCAAATCTTCTTTATGCCCCATCGTCCCAAGGTAGAAAGTTTATTGAACACATGGGTTACTATTATCAGAACACACGTAGACTATTGCGGGTGTTGAGCAGTTTTCACACGTTTTGTAGATTAAACCTTTTGCTTCCAAGACATTTTTGCACACATATTATAATCCACATTTAAGGCCTGAAATTACTTAACCCCCCCTACCCGAGATTTATATATTTTCTGAAAGTGCAGACCCAGTAGAATAAAATGGCAACAGTTGCAAATTTTTACGTCAGATATTAGCGCAACTCACACATTTTCAGTAATATAAAAGATGAGGTTATGCCTAGTAAATAGATATCAAACATGCCAAGCTTAAAAATTGCATCGTGAAAACAGCGACAAAATACAGTACCCCAAATTGTCCAAAGATAATACTTTAACAGGGCATGTGTACAGGTCATCTGTTCAGAGTTAAACCACGAATGGGGCCTTAATGGTGGATTCATGATTACAGAACTGCATTAACTTGCAGGGATCACAACATGAAAAAAGCCATTTCAGGGAGATGCCCCCTGCCCCCCCATGGGAAGAGAGCACCCCACTGAAATGATGTCATATAGCAAAGAAGCTATTGCTTCCTGTGCTATCTGTTTTTTGTTTTTTTAGTATTCTGACAACTGCTGCTGTCAGAATAAACAAACGAAAGTCACCAACCACACAGCATAGGCATGAATAGCTAGATTGCTATTGGCTATTTCAATTTGCAATATCCAATAGCAAGCTGGCTATTGCACCCGCCCTCTGCTGCTGTAAATCACTAGAAGAGGACCTGATGGAGAACTTCAGGTCCCCCTCTGCTGATTGACAGCAGCAGTGGGCGGGTGCAATAGCTAGTCTGCTATTGCAAAGTGAAATAGCAAATAGTAATCTAGCTATTCATTTTTTCCCCTCTAACAGCGAACGGCGGCTCCGATGTCAGAAACCCCCCCCACAGATAACAGGGAAAGGTTTACTCTGCTAGTTCGAGCAGAGTAAACCTTTCCAGGAGAAAATGTTTCTCTCACGGGCGGCCGGGAGCCGCTATCTAATAGCGGGAGACTCCCGGAACGTCCGGGAGAGTAGGGATGTCTGAACTTGTGTCTTTTATATCTGCCTAGAGATCTTATTTCATGATTAATTTATTAAATACAAAGCTAAACTCAATTAGGAGTTATCGGGATATAGTGTGCAATAACAAGTCAATCTTTTCCCCTCACAGATCAAAAGACCTGTATACCTATGAAGACATAACCTTACTGTCCTGCCTCATCTTTCACTTTATTATGATCTGTTCAGATGGGTTTTTGAATAAAGGCTTTCCCAATAAAGATAACCAAAACATACTTTTAAAAAAAGACAATGATAGATCTGTATAAGATATACAAAATGTTTTTTTCATTACGTGTTCATCACTCACAGCAGCTATGACATCATTGCAGGAGTGGCAACCCACTGGTCCATAGAACAGCGCGCATCAGTGTGTATATGATGTCACTTACTCCTCTCTCCTGTGAGTTCACAGAAGAGGACGCCTTCTCAGAGAATCATGGAGGCAGCCATTGCTGACTGCCTTCTAACAATGTTAGTTGCCCCACTATTATGCTGAACCATTGGCTTTAATACAGAATAAGTATCAGGACAGTAGTTGTAATGGCAGAACATTGTGTGTACATGCTGTTTCTGGGTTACACAAGATAGAAGGCAGAGGTTCAGAATGACAGCCAAGCAATTAGACGGTTACAGAATTATAAAGCTGGCCATACACTGTTCTATTTTTTCCGGTCCACTCACGGGCTGAACGAACAAAATATAGTGAACTCCTCCATGAACTATATGGGCACGTTGATGGAGGAATCTCCGCTGTTTCTTTTGTACACCGCCGGCCGGTGTCAGAGTACACTGGCAGCCGGAGCTGAACGAGGGATGCCGGGCGAAAGGGTGCTGACAGCCGCACCCACTGTGCAAATTTTGGTTGGTTCCTGAAGAACCGGCCAAATTCACGTAATGTATGGCCAGCTTTAGTCAACAGTGGACAACTCAATATTTTCTAGGAAAGATTATACTTCAAGAAAATGCCAAAGCCATTACCCTGTGTATAGGATGTCCACTTACAGGTCTGCCATGTACAAAAGCCTTTTCTACTTCTGTAAAGGATTATATGAATGAACATATTTAGTCATATATACTATATTACCAAAAGTATTGGGACTCGGAACACGTGCCTTTACACACACACATGAACTTTAATGGCATCCCAGTCTTAGTCCCTTGGGTTCAATATTGAGTTGGCCCGTCCTTTGCCGCTATAACAGCTTCAACTCTTCCAGGAAGGCGTCCACAATGTTTAGAAGTGTGTATATGGGAATGTTTGACCATTCTTCCAGAAAATGTATGTATTTTTACACACACACACACACACACACACACACACAACCACCTTGATTCCAGTTTGGTCCATATTGCAATGATAGCATCACACAGTTCCTGCAGATTTGTCGGCTGCCCATCCATCATGGATGCATCATGAAAATCTCCTGTTCCACCACATCCCAAAGGTGCTCTATTATATTAAGATCTGGTGACTGTGGAGGCCATTTGAGCACAGTGAACTCAATATCAAGCTAAAGAAACCAGTCTGAGATGATTCTTCTGCAATCCTCATTGTAACGAGTGGTTACTTAAGTTACTGTTCCCTTTCTCCTCTGACCTCTGGCAAGTCCAGTACACCAGCAATTTTCAAAATACTCAGACCAGCCCGTCTGGCACCAACAACCACACCCAGTCACTTATTTTAACTAAAAGATGAGATTTAATTTTTATTTTTAAATCCAATGGAAAAAAAATGTTTTGCCAACTAATCGAAATATGCCAACGAATCGAAATACGAAAATAATCATTAGTTGCAGCCTTTATCTCTCTAAATTAAGTTCTTTGTGATGGGTGAACATATCAGAACAGTACACAGAATACAGCAAATATTTTATTTATAAACCTTAAACAAAAAAAAAAAACCAAAAACACATAAAGAGGGGCTGTTCACCCCATTAAAAA